TAACTAAACTACCACCAATTTTAGGAAATTTATTTTTGCCTTCAAACCACAAGAAGCCGTGAAAGCATTGGGTTTGTTTATTAGTGGGGGTGTTGATGGGGGTGTATAGCGGGAGGGAGGAAAAAGAGCACTAATCTATCACTTTGTTGATATTCTTGTTATTATTGTTGTTGTTGTCGTTAATTTCTTCTTCTTTTCGTCATAGATATTTAAAAAAACACAGAACGCCTTTTTTGTTGTTAAGAAGTTAAACAATAATCTTCTGCTGCTTCGTCGTCGTCTTGTCAGAGACAATAAAAACCAAATAAAACACAACAAATACAAAACCCCATGGAATAATATGGGGGTCTATTCTTTGCGTTTTTTTTTTCTTCTTCTTGTGTTAATAAAAAAATTCTTTTACTTTTTTTCCACACACAACACAGGCACAACAATAGAATGAATTTTTCTTCTTTTCTTTTTCATTGAAATGCCATCAAACATTTGCCAAAAATATTGAGAGAGGATGGCAATAAACACTTATATTTTTTAATTATTTCTTTTTATTTAGCTTTAAATTTTCTTTTTATTTATTCTCAGAAAATTCACATTTCTAGCAAAATTTTCTTTTTCTTCACAATAGAACTTTTTTCTGTCTGAACATTTTAGGAAAATAGCAAAAGACTGACTGACGAACAGCAAACATCTGACATTTGCTCTTCAAAACAATGGCAAATGACATATGGGGTTTCACAGCACTGAGCTTTTGTATGGATGTGTTAAGTGTAGGCTAAAGACTGTTGCTGCCATCAAAAGGAATGTTGTGAGGGTTTGTTTCGTGATAAATAAGAGGGAATAAAGGAATGTGAAGAGAAAGTAATGACAGACTAGAGTTTGACATTTAATTAAAGGAATGCAATAAATGTTACTGTTCCCGTACTGCAAGAATCTACTAGAGTTTACTATATTCTTCGATATCGTAAAACGGCATTTACATTAGAACTTTTAACCTACAGTATGAGGGTTAACCTACAGTATGAGGATTTATTTGACATATATGCAAAGGAATTGACAATTTAAACCCACTGGGTTAACGAAATCTGGTTAAATGTAAACGTACTATAAGCTAGCGGAAGTCAGCTGTTTTTTTCTCAAGTCAAATGTCAAAACTTTGGCTTTTGATTACGTTTTCATAATGGAAGTCGATTTACAAAAATAGATGTTGACAGCGAACTTAAGGGCAGCTGATACCCAGCTGGACTCCCTGGACTAACTCATTTATAGGCCTTGTTCTTAGGTTTTCATAACGGACCATGCAGTTTCTTATAATGACAAGTTTTAAGTAATCTATTCTTTAAAAATCTAAGACTTTGGAGGACCTTAAAGAAATATTCTTAAAATAAAATAAAAAGTCCTTAACCGCCCTCCGCTATGAGGGGGCATTCTAAATACCTAATATCGATCGGAAGATTTATACGGATAGGTGTTTAGGACAACAAAAATGCCTATTAAGACCATACCCAAAGATCGGTCGATAATTTTATTCAACCTGATTAAAAAATATGTCTGAAATCCGAAAATTACCAAAAATTAATGGTAACGTCCAAAACGTGATTTTTTTGTAGGAAGATATTTCACCCTAAGCAAATCCAGAATATAGATTATTAAGGGTACAGTTATATTAAGGATATTCCGAAACTTGAGAATCATTAAAATTTAAGCCTTTTGCAGGTCCTTGAAAAAAACCTTAATAATTGTACGCCTTTTAGGTTATGAACAAATATTTTACGCCTTTTGTAGATCCTTGAAAAAATCTACGCCTTTTGTAGGTCGTTAAAAATTTTCGCATTTTTGTAGGTCCCTAAAAAGCTACGCCTTTTGTTGGTCCTTAAAAAATCTTCGCTTTTTGTTGGTCCTTAAAAAATCTTCGCCTTTTGTAGGTCCTTAAAAAATCTACGCCTTTTGTAGGTCCTTAAAAAAACTTCGCCTTTTGTAGGTCCTTTAAAAATCGACGCCTTTTGTAGGTCCTTTAAAAATCGACGCCTTTTGTAGGTCCTTTAAAAATCGACGCCTTTTGTAGGCTTCGAAAGAAATATTCTTTAAAAAATCCTAGTGTTGTGTAGGTCTCGACAAAATATTCTTTACAAAACAACGCCTTGTATAGGTCTCAAAAATATTCTGGAACAAATCTACGCCTTCTGTATGTCGTTAAAAAATATTCTTTAAAATATATACGACTTTTGTAGGTCGTTGAAAAAATTCGTTAAAAAAATCTATACAGGTGTTGAACCTCCGAAATTATTCATTAAAAAATCCAAGCGCCTCGGAAAAATATTCTTTAAAAAATCTTCGCGTTATGTGTGTTGGTATCAAAAAAATATTCTTAAAAAAACCACGCCTTTGTCTTTTTTTTTTTTTTTTTTTTTTGATTCAATCTTCTATTGGTCCTTAAAAATATTTTTTAAAAAACTCTTCTGTTGGTTCTTAAAAATATTTAAAAAACCAGTGAGCGGAGCAGTATAGTCGGACGGGGCCGACCATGCGATACCCTACACAACTACCACGAACTCTAACTTTCTGAGGATGTTTATTCCGAGTCTGAGTAATATTTCGTGATATTTGCCCCCTCTTGTCCGATTAGAGGTTAACAACACCTCTTCCTTACTTTTTTCGAATATTCAGTACAGTCCTTCTAATTACTTGTCCAGATTACCTTCACGGTGGGTTGTGTTGTGATTTTCGGATTATACTCTACTCGAAAACACACAAAAAATTATGTTTTCCGTCCATTTCATCCCAAAATTTTAATCTGATCATCACCGAAAATTATAGGCGTTGTTCTTGACCATAACTGGAACTTCATGAAAAATTTCAAAGCCATCAGCGCGATATTTCTCCCTCTAATGTGGTAATGGGTTACTGAATAATATCTGAATACGTAAGCACCTGTAAATATTTGACTGTAACTCCCACATCTGAGTAGATACATCACTATATTTGGTATCAATTTAAAGGCCAACCACTCCTCTTGGATGTGCTATCAACTCCTGGGGTCTACATCCTCCAGGAGTAAATATATATGTCATAGAATACAAATTTTGTCATTTTTCACACAAAAGTCAGGGTCCATTTGACCCGCTAAATATTGACCGATCTTTATCAAAACATGAATGCTTATTCTCTGGCCCGATCCCCTTCTCCATGCAAAAATTCGCGGTGTTTGGGCCATAATTGCGGCCTCTGGAGCGACCAGAAAAACCGACAAAAATTTAGTATTTGGTCCATTTCATCCCCTAAATATTAACCGATCTTTTCCAAAAACAATAGGGGTCTTCATTGGCCAGAACCCATCCTACATGCAAAATTTCGTGAAGATTGGTCCATAACTGTGGCCTGTATCGTGTTTACAAATTATAATGGACAGACGGACGGACGGACGGACGGACACACAAGTCTAGATCGACTCAGCTAGTCGAGATATGACGATCGGTATACTTAAAGGTGGGTCTAGGACCAATATTTCGCGGCGTTACAAACATTTGGGGCTGCACAAAGCTATAATACCCTGACAACATAGTTGTGTAGGGTATAAAAATTCACGCTTCTGTTGTTTCCTAGAAAATATTCATCGAAATCCTAAATACTGTTAGTTCTTAACTATATTCTGTAAGAAATTCACGCTTCTTACATGTTTTTATACCCTACACAACTATGTTGTCAGGGTATTATAGCTTTGTGCAGCCCCAAAAGTTTGTAACGCCGCGAAATATTGGTCCTAGACCCACCTTTAAGTATACCGATCGTCATATCTCGACTAGCTGAGTCGATCTAGACATGTGTGTCCGTCCGTCCGTCTGTCCATTATAATTTGTAAACACGATACAGGCCACAGTTATGGACCAATCTTCACGAAATTTTGCATGTAGGATGGGTTCTGGCCAATGAAGACCCCTATTGTTTTTGGGAAAGATCGGTTAATATTTAGGGGATGAAATGGACCAAATACTAAATTTTTGTCGGTTTTTCTGGTCGCTCCAGAGGCCGCAATAATGGCCCGAACATCGTGAAATTTTGCATGGAGAAGGGGATCGGGCCAAAGAATAAGCATGCCTGTTTTGATAAAGATCGGTCAATATTTAGGGGGTCAAATGGACCCTGACTTTTGTGTGTAAAATGACAAAATTTGTATTCTATAGCGTATATATTTACCCCTAAAGGACATAGACCCGAGAAGTTGATATTATATCCAAGAGGAGTGGTTGACCTTTAAATTGATACCAATTATATTGTTGTATGTGCTCGGATGTGGGAGTTACACCTAAATATTTACAAGTATCTCCGTATTCATATATTATTTAGTAACCCATTATCACTCTATAGAGCGGAACTATAGCGCCGATCGCTTTGAAATGTTCCATGAGGTTCCAGTTATGGTCAAGGACAACGCCTATAATTTTCGCTGATGATCAGATATAATTTTTTGAATGAAGTGGACCGAAAACTTAATTTTTTGTGTTATTTTCGAGTCGATCTATATACCACAAATGAAAGCCGAACATCACAACACAACCCACGGTGAAGGGAATCTGGACAATAGCTGTACTGAATACTCGTAATATTCGGAAAATATGTCAGTGTGAGGAAGGGTAGCTAGGACCTCTAATCGGGCAAGAGGGTGCAAATATCACGAAATATTGCCCAGGCTCGGAATAAACATCCGCAGAAAATTTGAGCTCCGTGGTAGTTGTGTAGGGTATCGTATGGTCGGCCCCGTCCGACTATACTGCTCCGCTCACTGGTTAAAAATATTCTTTAAAAAATAATTTTATTTTTTCCCTCATCTAAGCGCATTGTAACGTAGGCAGTGCTGCCAACATGTTGTGCATGTCAAACAAAACAGCATTATTTAACGCCGTTGTCTCCGGCAATGCACTGTGTCAGAAGCAATCTGTTGCATGCCCAATCAAATTTAATTCCAATTGGAGCCCCAAACATAACACAATCAATCAAAACAATATAAAATGACCCAAACCGCCCTTTTACCACGTGAATCCGGTGAATATATTGTAAAGAATGCCAAATATATACGAGTGGTGGACAGTGGAATTGAGAAACTGACACAGGAGATTATCAAAGGCATACAGGACAAAGTGATTGATGTCAATAATTTCTCACAACACGATTTGCATCCAAAGCCCACAGATGCACATGCCGTCGAGTGGATATTTGTGGTGGATACCTTGAACTTTTGTTTTTGGACACCAAGTAAGTGGGATACAGCATACCTTTCTAATAATTAAAAATCGTAATCTTTAATATCCCTTACAGCCGATTACACGAAATACAAAGTAGATGGTTATACCGGCTACTTTGCTCTATGTGCTGCCATTAATCGTGCCATGAAAGATGGTCTGGACATAACCAATCCTGAATATTATAGTAAAATCGATTTGGAAACTGTAAAGAGTATCTTTCGTTCAGATGATGGCCAGACAATGGTCCCTCTGCTGGAACAACGTCTGAAATGTTTTCATGAAGTGGGTCAGCGTTTGCTGGAAAAATGGCAGGGGAAATTTAAAAATGTTATACAGGCGGCAAATGGCTCTGCATTGGAACTTTTAAAAGTAGTAGTACAAGAATTTCCTTGCTTCAGGGATGAAGCTGATTTTGCCGGCAAACGAGTATCGTTGTATAAAAGAGCACAAATCCTAGTTGGTGATGTATGGGCATGTTTCCGTGGTGAAGGTCTTGGCGCATTCCGCGATTTATATCATATAACAATGTTTGCCGATTATAGAGTACCACAGGTGTTGGTACATTTCGGTTCATTGGAATACACCGACGAATTAATGGAGATTTTAAAATCGGATAAAATCTTAGAAAATGGGGATCCCATGGAAGTGGAAATACGTGGTGCCTCCATACATATTGTGGAAAAAGTTAAAGATCGTGTATTGGAGGAATTGGCGCAGAAGTATCCTGAAATATCTAAGGATAATGTTAATTCCATATTAATTGATCACTTTTTGTGGGACTATCGTCGACGCTATGCCAAAGAATTAGAATATATACCATTCCATAAAGTATTAAGTGTTTATTATTGAACGATGATAAGTTGAGATATATAAGTGTGCCATGCCATCGTGTTTGACAAGCAAAAAAATTAATTTGTGATACAAAAAAAGAATAAAAAAGAAATAAATGACTACTAAAAGTGTATGGGAATCAAACACTGGATTAATTAATAAGAAGCTGAAGCAAAATGAAATTCATTATCATCACTCAATTGCAATAGAATAAGCTGCTAAATCAAGTACCTAAAACAAATATACAAGAAGAAGAAGAAGAAGGATTGCAAGGTAAATTTATTATATCTTATTTCAATATTTTCTCTTCATATATAGGTACTATGTATAGGAATTAGAAATTTTATTACAATCCACATTTGGTCCCTGATAAACTTTTTATGAGATGATATCATGCCTTAGGTAAACAAATTGCAAATACAACTAGTAAACAGAGATAACGGAATATTTACGCACGAATTACCAGAAGTACCACTTTTGGAGTAAAAATAATATTAGTAGGTACTACTTTATCTTTACGTACTGATTAAACAATATTTTATATTTGTAGATTTAATGTTGACCGCTTCAAAGATTGAGTGCTTAGGAAAACTTTTCAACAGATCATATCACATTGGTTTTTTATAAAAGATAGAAAATTTGAAATTGATTCGATAATTCAGGAAGCTGTTTAGAAAGTAAATAATATATAGAAATGAATGGTAAATCACTAAGGAAAGCTAAGCAAATTTCATCGATAATTAATATATACTTCATATAAACATAGATAGAGGTCGGCTAAATTTAGACCAAAAAGGATTCACCTCTTCATTTGCTTTATTGTTCAAAGAGTTGACCATTATAATGTAGATTTGGTTAAAATATTACGATATGCAATCAATGGATCAAATCAGGTATTTAATTTGCTTCATACCATACACGTATTCGGAGTGGAGCACCACAATCAAAATTAATTTTTTCCTGCAAAAAAAAATTTTTTGGCATGAAATTGACGCTTTGTTTGGACTCCTGAAAAATATTCTTTAAAAAATCCACGCCCTGAAAAATATTCTTCAAAAATTCCACGCCCTGAAAAATATTCTTCAAAAAATCCATTCCCTGAAAAATATTCTTTAAAAAATCCACGCCCTTAAAAATATTCTTTAAAAAATCCACGCCCTGAAAAATATTCTTTAAAAAATCCATGCCCTGAAAAATATTCAAAAATTCCATACCCTGAAAAATATTCAAAAATTCCATACCCTGAAAAATATTCGTTAAAAAATCCACGCCCTGAAAAATATTCTGATTCTGATAACCTGATTTTTGGAACTTGAAAAAATATTTATTAAAAATTCCACGACTGATTTTTGGTACTTGAAAAAATAATCTTTAAACCAGTAAGGAAAGTTGTAAAGTCGGACGGGGCCGACTATATGATACCATTCACCACTTTAGCTATATTAAGCAGATGAATCCTAACAGACGTCGCATTTTTAAAGGACCAGTAAAATGAAATTGGATCCATAAACATGTCATTCTGCAACCGATACTAAATTTTTCATTTGGTCAGATATAAAAGCTATATCTAAAGTTGAACCGATTCTCACGAAACTCAACACACATCGTTCTAGACCTAATTCAGTATACTATACCAAATTTCGTGCAAATCGAAAGATATATAGGGACTTTAGTACAACATTTACATTAAATCGGACGAAAATATTTATGGGAGCTATATCTACATCTGGACCGATTTTCAGGAAACATAACACACATCATTCTAGACCTAATTCATTACGCTATGCCAAATTTCGTGCAAATCAAAAGATATATAGGGACCTTGGTACACCATTTACATTAAATCGGACGAAAATATATATGAAAGCTATATCTAAATCTGGACCGATTTTCAGCAAACCTGGATGATATCATTCTAGGCTTAATTCAGTATGCTATGCCAAATTTCGTGCAAATCGAATGATTTTCAGGGACTTTGGTACACCATTTACCTAAAATCGGGCGAAACTATATATGGGAGCTATATCGAAATCTGAACCGGTTTTCACGAAACTTAGCACACATCGTTCTAGACCTAATTCATTACGCTGAGCCAAATTTCGTGCAAATCGAAAGATATATAGGGGCTTTGGTACACCATTTACATTAAATCGGACGAAAATATTTCATTCAATTCGGATCATAAATGCGACCTGTACTTTGTTTACAACTTAACGTGGACAGACAGACGGACGGACATGCACAAATCGACTCAGAAAGTGATTCTATGCATATTATAAAAAGGAACCATGGGTCTATCTCGATTCCTTTTACCTGTTACAAACATATGCACAAAGACATGATAGCCTGTACCACAGTGTGGTAAAGGGTATAAAAATCCACGCCTGCTTTTTGGTACTTGAAAAAAATATTCTTTAAAAAAACCACTCCTTTTTTGGGTCCCTGTTCTTTGGTACTTGAAAAAATCCACGCCTGTTTTCTAAAAATTTAAGCTATGAGTTTCTAAAACGAATCTTTCAGGGCATGATCATACCCTTTATGGTCCCTAAACATCTTTCTTTAAAAATCAATTGGCATTTCAAAACATAGACTCAAAAAAAAATTATTCCTTCCTTTTTAAAAAATTCTTTCAAAATCCCGCGCTTTTGAAAATATTGAAAAAATATCCTTTAAAAAATCCACATTAAAAAATGTCCCCCGTTCTAATTAGCTAAACTATTTCATCCTTGTGAACAGTTTTAAAACAAACCATACCCTATCCTATTATTAAAAAAAACATGGATGCAGTAAAAATTCAAAATAGGGTTTCATACTGAACAACCTTCATCTAAGTTAACTTATTTTCAACATGCTAGAATTTGATCGAAATCACTGCATTCTTCGTTATAAATTACGATTTCAATTTATATTTAAATATTGACTTAAAGGGCTCCATGCCGTGACAGTGTTCCATAACTATTTTAGAAAATTTCCCGAGCACTCGCAATTCAATTCTTCACTTTCCACAAATAAATATTTCTTTACACACATCGCTATTTTCTTTTTTCAAAGAATCAAAATTTTGTCAGTTTTTTTTATTCCTTAAAATGACGTACAAAAGAAGGATACAATCTACTCTTGGAGAGAAACAGGCTTCTTCTTGCCGGCTTGAGCGGCAACACGATCCTTGTAACGTTGATCAGCCTCAGCACGGGACAAGTTGTTCTTGCGGGCGAAACGTTGGTTGGTCAAGAATTTGACATCCATCTGGAAATAAGAAATACAAAATACGAATTAGAAATACCACTACAACAACAACAAAGACTCGCATTTAATACTTACACCCAAGGTGGATTCATGGCGTTTACGCATTGGGCGCTTGATGCCATTACGATGGGCTTTTCTGTTTTGATTGTGATTGGTGTGATTCTTTGACTTGGCCATTGTACGCTAAGTGCTGTACGCACACAAAAAAAAAATATTCATCCATATTCCATTGTCAGTCAATCGCATTATCATCGAACATAAACAAATTTTGCCACAGCGCAAACATCCAAATAGATCCAAACATAATCCATTGTAATCACCAGCACAAAAGAATAGAAATTAAATAAAAGCAATTAGTTTTTGTCACAAACATTTCAATAATTCATATTTTGTTGATATTTTCACATTTCTTTAATAATTTATTTCCAAAATTTTCATAAAAATTCCAATTAATTTTCACATTTAGCAACCTACGTTTTTGACGTTTTAGCGGAAAAGAAGGGAGAAATTTTTTTGTTGTTTTCGGCTGTCATTTTTTGTTCGAATTTTCGAAAACATCAGCTGCGAGATGTGTTTATTAATCATTTGGACAGTTGTTGGGCAGTGTCTGATGTTGCCACAT